ATATTGCTATGCAAATAAACACACATGAGAATTTAATAATAAATAGATGTCTATTGCAATAAACTTAAAAGAAATAAAATTACGTGCAAGATTTTTAGATTTTCGTCCAACGAAACGAGGCACAACTACTCAATTGAATTACCACGCTCCGACACGACCCTATTTAACTTATGAGGGGTAGGGAAAATGGTGAGTATATGGGAATACTCAGTAAGATATAAAAATTAATGGTGGGATCGATCCCGTATAAAAATTTTAAAACATATATTAGCAAATCATACTGTCTCATATCTTTAAATTCGATAAGAGCTCATATCATATCATTGTACCAGAATTGTCATATCATTCATATCATATCATATTTTAACTTTCATGAGTACAATAATTTATCAATATGAAAAAAAAAAAATTAAACGGGATAGAAAAATATTGCACCTCAATATCCAATCTTCTTAACTTGCTTTAATTTTGGAAGATAAAATAAAAAATAAAAATTCACATTCCAACAACCCTTTCTTTCTTTTTTTTTTTTTTTTTTCAAGGTGTCCGGGCTTGCGTCCGACTAGATCCTTGTCCCTGAACCTCCGGCCCCTCAGCAGCTCAGGGAGGTAAATCGCAGGATGTGCCCTTGTTGGCTCCCAGGTTCCCACAACTCATTTGGACTCCTTCCGCAAAGAGAGCTCTCCTCACTGGGCGTTTGTTCACACCAATGACTTCCTCTCCATATGGCTCCCAGTGTTAACTCCAGGAATCGAACTCTCCACCCTTGCTTCCAGCGTCTCAGCGAAGTGATTGTTCCACCATCTCGGATGTGCCCTGGGGGCTTCCAACAACCCTTTCTTTGCTCTGCTTACATGTCGTGCATGTGTATTCGTGAGGGAAACGTGTGAGAGTGAAATGAGGTTATGGATGAGTATTGTGAACTAAAATTTTGATTAAGCCTTGTCATTCAAAAATCGAAATCAGCATCCCCTACCCTTGTGTCATCCCTCTTTAATTCAAAATTCTAGTTAAGGGAAAAATAAACAAATAAAAACAAAGTTGGTTTTTAACCACTAGTCACGTGGCTTCCCATAACTCCCCCCTCCCCCCCCTCCTTTTTTTTTTTTTCCCTCCCCCTCTCCTTTTGTTTGTTTCTTTTTTTTTTTTATTATATATTAATCACCAACCTACCAAAAAATCTTGCTACACGTCACTTGAGATCTACCAAGATTTTAAATTTATTAAATAATAAATTATAATATAATTAAAGCTATATATTTCAACCTCTATAACTTGGGCTCCGTAACTCAAATTAACTTTTCCTCGAGCCTAACATGCATGATTTATTACGATATATCCAACGAGTCCAATATTCATATACTAATTATTGCTCCACCAATATCTACATTTTATCTCAAATAAAATAGAAATTTACTATATATTTTAGTCTCTAATCTTTTAAAACACTAAAATATAGCATAAAAAAATTAAATTCTGTTCTACAAAATTTTCGGGATATTACAAAATGGATCTGAATGGTGGGAAAATCTGTAGTTTTACTTGCTAACTGTGGACAGCTGCACATCCATTTGGTTGCCACATGAAATGCAGGTGTATATTGTTGTCGATTTTATCCCGCAAGTGAACGGATCGTAACAAGTAGTAAAGTGGATCTTTTGAGTCAGGATTATCGTTTCCACGAGAACTATACTTTAGTACTCAATTTATTATTCCTAACTCTTATTTGATGAATATAAATAAATAAATAAAATAAATTTGATTAACTGTGATTTTTAAATCTAACTACTAAAAATCTCGGGAATGCAACAGAATATTAGTGAGAATTCAAATAAGAAATGGAGATTAGGGCGGAACAACTTCACCTATTGGTCAACTTAATTTCTAATATCGAGATTCATAAAACTAAAATAGTGTTCGGTCGAATTCTTCTATTGTATTCAACTTACCCCTCTCGAATTCTCGTCGAGCCTATATAATTAGTTCAATTACATATCTCTATGCAAATTTAATTTAATTAAACGAAATAACAGTTCTAAAAATTTCTATAGGACCGCAGTAATTAATATAGATATCTCTACACGTTATATTAATTTACCGAATTTTAATATGTGATCTAAACAAAAATCCGCATCTCTACGTAATTAATGTTCACGAAATCATTGAATATTTGGCCTAAAAATTCAAAGCATTAAAAACATAATTAAAATTCACATATAAAATATAAAAGAATAATAATCTCAAATAAAAGAAATAAAGGTCCCAAATCAGTTACATTGTTCGCCCTAAAAATAAATTTAACTACGCATATTAATAGGAGAAAAATAAGATATTATCATGGAAGACATCACCCAATTTATTGAAGGAAAGTGATTAATAAAATTGCTGCCCTTTTTTTCGTGTTTCCATCTTGTCTCGAGTCTCTGCTGTAAAAAAACGACCCCCACTTTATATATATATATAACAACTCTAGGCACAAAGTTTGACTCCCATTCAAAGACTTTAATATTATATTACTCATCAAGTCCTTGATCTTTCCATGCAATAAATTTCAGTCCTTGAATCCTTTTATTCTTGCAACCCATGTATTCTTTGGTTCAATCCAAGTCCTTCACTTTCTAAATTATTCAATTTGATCTCCAAACATTTCAATCTTCGATTCATGGTCCGAATCAACTATTGAATTTTTACAACTTGGTCCCCAACTTTTGGATTTCGCTCTTTTTTGCTTCATTCCTTCAATTCTCTTTTCATTCATAGAATTTACCGATTAAAAATAAGAAACAATAATTTAAAATATAATTTATCAAAAGAACCATCAAATATCTTTATTTTAGGGTACCGAATAAGTGTATAAAATACACTTATCAAATACCCCCAAACTTAAACATTTGTTTGTTCTCAAACAAAACTATAAATAAATAATAATTAACACACAAACATGCAAAAATATTCGGTTGGACAATCTAACTTCTCACCTTAGGATTCAAGATTTAGTGTTTACTCTATAAACATTCTTCAAAGTCACAGTTCCAAACTAATATCCACTCTTCCAATACAAAAATTAACGCGTGTGTGTGAAGAATCGAGTAATCAACCATGACTGCACAAGTTGTTTCAATTCCCGACCCTTAATGGTCATAAATATATATCTTTCATCACTTGTAAGATTCACACACCCCCAAACTTATTCTTTTTCACTCTTTTTCAATGTGTAATATAAGGCTGAATATTTCATTACTATCCTCACCCTCTCAAGTTTAGGTGGATGTTACTAGTTGCAAGTTAACACTTCAGTGAACAAGGAATTCTCCAATTATTTGATTGATTCGACTTCCAAGACTCAACTAGCTAATTATCTTGCATCAAAAGTCAAATTCCCTCAAATACTTGTTAGGGCTTAACCAAGGTATTTAGTGCTTTTGAAAAAGGCTTCGAAGAGAAGAAATTTATTTATTTATTATTTTTTTCAAGTGCAATTTCGTCTCTAATTGCTTTCTAAATGACCCTTGTAACGAGCTTTAAGTCAATAACTCCCAAGTCAGACGAGTTTAGGGCACCACATTTTTAAGATACCCTTACAGTCTTAATCATTCGAGTCATAAAGGCTTCAGAGAGAAGTTTAAAATTTTCAAATGTATATGCCTTGATTAGTGCAATGCCCCTTATCACACACTTATTCAAACGAACCGACCTTTAACTTAAGATTTTTGTAGAGTTTTATCATGTTAGTCTAAGACAATCTACACATAAGTTTTCACACATGGAATCCACATTCACGGCCGCATCTTTCAACAACTGTAAAGTCACCCCCAAACTGTGCTAAATTTGGTTTAAGAATAAGTAATTTAATATGGTTTAGGTAAAGCATCTACATCCAACTAAATCAACCTATCAATAGCACGAAATAACTCATTTAATCATAATGTCAAACTCAATTCTAGTGTGCTTGTAATATCAAATTTTGCAAAGTTGAGCTTCAATTAGTCTAGCATGCATCATATCCACAGCTCATAAGTCAACACCAAATCTCAAATTAAATCATCATTGTTTGTCAGATTGTCTAACCCACACAAGCACACAACTAAACAAAAGAGGTTTTTTTTTTTTTAACAAACACACAAAAACATAAAAACTAAAAGTTTTTTTCACCCCCAAACTTAAAACTGACATTGTCCTCAATGTTATAAAGCATAAATAAACACATAAAAGGGGTAGGGAAGAAAAAGAAGAAGGTACTTCCCAAATTTTTCTGTTGAATGTGTGAGGCAATATGTGAGACAACTGGATAATATTTTTCATCATGCTTTCCCTTAGATCTATGTTGGTTTGAGTGTTCCACAACGTTATGTTCCTGAAAAATCAAATTTGACAAATTAAAGGTAGGGAACAAGGGTTACTTAGCTCAAACAATCAAAATAACTAACAATAAATTCAAGGGCCTGAGGGCGGAAGGGATATGGGTGATGACTCCTAAAAATTGAAACATGCCTAAATCTAATGCAACAAAACAAAACTATATGCTATGCAATACAAAAAGTAAAATAAAAAAAATTGAAAATTGGGTTGCCTCCCAATAAGCGCTTCTTTTAAGTCATTAGCTGGACTTTATGCTGCTATTATTCTGGTACAGCTAGGTCAAGACTCTCTTTAGCGGTGGGGAAATCTTCCACGTAGTGCTTGATACGTTGGCCATTTACTTTGAAGTTTCCTTTTGTTGGATGATGTAATTCAACTGTGCCGTAAGGAAACAGCTAAGAGACCGTAAAAGGACCGGACCATCTAGATTTCAACTTTCCTAGAAACAGTTTAAGCCTGAAATTGTATAAAAGCACTTGATCTCCCACTTTAAAAATTCTTTGCCTGATGTTCTTGTCATGGCACTGCTTCGTCCTTTTCTTGTAGATGGCTACATTCTCATATACTTCTCTTCTGAATTCTTCCAATTCATGTAGTTGCAGTATTCTTGTTTCTCCAGCCTTTTCAAGGTCCATGTTTAACTACTTCAATGCCCAGTATGCTCTATGTTCAAACTCCACTAGTAGGTGGCATGCTTTTCCAAAGATTAGTCGATATGGGGACATCTCAATAGGTGTCTTGTAAGCAGTACGATATGCACATAAAGCATCGTCTAATTTCTTTGACCAATCCTTGCAAGATGTATTCACAGTAAGCTCCAGAATTCTTTTTAATTATCTGTTCGAGGTTTCCACCTGTCCACTTGTCTGATGGTGGTAAGGAGTGACAATTCGATAGTGTACCCCATACTTATGTAGCACTGCCTGGAATAATCGATTGCGGAAGCGAGCTCTACCATCACTTATTATGGCCTTAGGTGATCCATAGCAGTTAAAGATGTGTTTCTTTATGAAGTCCACCACCACCCTCGCGTCATTTGTAGGCAATGCTTTAGTTTCTACCCATTTAGAGACATAATATACTGCCACTAGGATGTACTAATTGTTGTAAGATGATGGAAAGGGACCCATAAAATCAACCCCCTAGACATCAAATATTTTCACCTCCAAAATGTTGTTAAGTGGCATCTCGTGACGCGCTGATATGTTACTTGTTCTTTGACATTTATCACATGATCTACAGAAATTGTGGCAGTCCTTGAATAATGTAGGCCAAAAGAAACCATAGTGAAGCACATTTGCTGCTGTTTTAGTGGGGTCAAAGTGTCCTCCATAAATCGAAGCATGAACCCGTGAAAGAATAGGTTTCATCTCATCCTCTGGCACACATCTCCTAATGATCTGGTCTGTCCCTCTTCTGTATAAATTTGGATCATCCCAATAATAGAATTTCACTTCATAAAGCAACTTCTTCTTCTACTGATAGGTGAGATCAGGATCCATATAGCCACTAGCTAAGTAATTAACAATGTCTACATACCATGGAGCCTTTTCTATCTGCAATAACTACTCATCTAGGAAGACCTCATTAATATCCACATCATTTGAATCACGCAGTTACTCCAGCCTTGATAAATGATTTGTTACCTGATTTTCTGTACCCTTTTTATCGCGAATTTCAATGTCAAACTCTTGCAGTAACAGAACCCATCAAATCAGCCTAGGTTTGGCATCCTTCTTCTCAAACAGATATTTCAATGCTGCATGGTCGGTGTAGACTATCACCTTTGAACCAATCAGATAGGAACGAAATTTGTCGAAGGCAAAGACCACTGCTAGCATCTCTTTTTTCGTTGTTCCATAGTTGATCTGAGCATCTGTCAAGGTTTTGCTGGTATAGTAGATTACATGTAACACTTTGCCTTTACGTTGGCCAAGCACCGCTCCCATTGCAAAATCACTAGCATCACACAAAAGTTCGAAAGGTAGATCCCAATTAGGTGCTACTATTATAGGTGTAGAAGTTAACTTTTCTTTCAAAGTGTTAAAGACATTTAAGCACTCATCAGAAAAGTGAAATGACACATCCTTTTCCAATAGATTACATAGGTTTTGTAATTTTTGAGAAATCTTGAATGAACCTTCTGTAAAACCTTGCATGTCCTAAAAAGCTCCTGATCCCTTTAACTGAATTAAGAGGCTGCAATTTTTCAATCACTTGTATTTTGGCTTTGTAAATTTCAATGTCCTTTGAGGAAATCCTATGGCTCAACACTATCCTCTCTTTTACCATGAAATGACATTTTCCCCAATTTAGCACTAGGTTCTTCTCTTCACATCTTTGCAATACAAGAGCCAATCGATCCAAGCAGTCATCAAATGAATTTTCAAACACAGAAAAATCATCCATGAATGTCTCGATGTATTTTTCCACCATGTCAGAGAATATGGCATCATGCACCGTTGAAAGGTTGCGGGTGCATTGCATAAACCAAAAGGCATCTTTCTAAATGCAAAAGTTCCATAGGGATATGTGAAGGTATTTTTCTCCTGGTCTTCTGGAGCAATACCTATTTGATTGTACCCAAAATATCCGTCTAGAAAGTGGTAATGAGAATGATCGGCCAACCTTTCCAATATCTGATCAATGAATGACAATGGAAAATGATCCTTTTTGGTTGCATTATTTAGCTTTCTGTAATCTATACATACACTCCATCCTGTCACTAACTGTGTTGGTATTAGCTCGTTGTTCTCATTCTTCTTCACTGTGATTCCACCTTTTTTGGTACACACATGTACTGGACTCACCCATGAACTATCAGAGATTGGATAGATAATACCTGGATCCAACAATTTCAGCACTTCTTTTCACACTACTTCTTTCAAGGTTGGAGAATCTGCGTTGCCCTTCCACTGATGGCTTTGACCTATCCTCCATTAAAATCTTGTGTATAAAAAGAGTTGGACTTATTCCTCTGATGTCAGCTATTGTCCATCCAATTGCCGTTTTGTGCTGCTTAAGTACCTCAAACAATTTATTCTTTCCATTGTCATGTCATTTGCAATGATTACTGGAAGTGTTGTAGATTTTCCCAAATATGCATAACAGAGATGTGAAGGCAAGGGCTTTAGTTCAAGAGTGGGTGCTTTTTCTACTTAAGGTACTGGGGGTGAAGGGTTGTCACCAAGAGATTCATACTGCCAATGTCTTCTTCCTATTGGCTGCTTAGCCAAGTTTACAACACATTCAGTTTTTTCTGCACTTGTTGCTCCCGATTGTGCAATTTCTGCTTTACAAAGAACTGTTTGATGCTCTGTCTCAAATGTATCTACCACAAGTTCTTCAAGAACATCTACTTGGCAACAAGTGTCTGAAGTCAGTGGATGTTTCATCGCCTTGAACATGTTGAATATGACTTGCTCATTGTCCACCCAAAGAATTGTCTTTCCATCGTAAACATCAATCAGCGCTCTTCCGGTAGCCAAGAAGGGTTTTCCCAAGATTATAGGGATGTTTGAATCTTCCTCCATGTCCAAAATGATGAAATCAGCCGGAAAAATAAATTTATCAACTTTGACTAGCACATCTTCAATAATCCCCTTCGGTCGTTTGATCGATCTGTCAGCCAATTACAAAGAGATGGTTGTAGATTTTGCTTCTCCTAATCCAAGAGACATGTAAACAGAGAGGGGCATCAAATTAACACTGGCACCTAAATCACATAGAGAATGCTAAAAATAGTTTAGAACCAATTGTGCAAGGTATCGTAAAACTCCCTGGGTCATTTAGTTTAGGAGGTAGCTTTTTTAATAGAATTGCACTGCGTTCCTCGTTTAGGTAGACAGTCTCATGTTCTTCCAGCTCCCTTTTGTTAGATAGGATCTCCTTCAAGAATTTTACATAACTGGGCATTTGGGCTATTGCATCTGCAAGCGGAATATTGATGTGCAGATTCTTGAAAATCTCCACAAACTTGGCAAACTGTTTGTCCAACTTCTTTCTTTGTAACCTTTGAGGAAAGGGAATTGGTGGTACATAAGATTTCAAGGGGCTGGGTGCTCTCACTGTAGGTGTTTCTTTCCTTTTATCCTCCTCGTTAGTTGGTTGTTCAGACTCTACTTCTGTCCCAACCTCTTCACCCATTACTTCTTTGTCTTTTCTGTCTGGTCTCTTCACATGTATCTCTGGAAGTCGCATTCCACTTCTAGTTGTAATAGCTTGCACTTGCTCATTTTGGATTGACCATTGTGTTGCCTGGCAATGTCCCTCGTGGTCGTTCTACAAGCTATTGAGCTATCTGTCCAATATGAGTTTCCAGCTTCTTAATGGATGCTTGCTGATTCTAAAAGTTACTGTCAATCTGTTGGAACACCTTGTCTATCTTTTGCATGTATTGGTTGAACATCTCTCCCAAACTTGGTTTTTTTCTCTGGCTGGTTATTGTTTGAACTGCTCCCTTACTGATTATTCGACCATCTGAAGTTTGGGTGTTTCTTCCATCCTGAGTTATATGTTTGTGAAAAGGGATTAAAATTTTGAGAGCCATTTTGAATGAAGTTGACTTGTTCTTCCGGAAATCTCATAGATGTGCAATTTTTTGTTAGGTGTTTGCTCCGCAGTTTTCGTAGGATGGTCCAGTTATCACTGCATGTGCTCTTTTTGTTTGTGACTTCACCAATAACTCTACCTGTTTTGTCAATGCTGCTATCTGGGCGTTGGTAGATGCTGTGCTGTCTAATTCATAAATTTACGCTGCTTTTGGAGACACCACTCTTTCTGATGAAAACATGGAATGAGTAGTAGCAATCAACTCAAATAGATCAATACATTGTTGCACTGATTTCCCTATAATCGATCTACCTACAGAGGAATCCACTTGAGATTTGGATAATGGTGAAAGTCCCATATAGAAATACTGCACTTGATTTCCAATAGTGATCCCATGATTTGGACACTTCCTTATCAATTCCTTAAATCTGCTCCAAGCCTCGTGATAGCTCTCCCCATCTTTTTGTTAAAAGGTTTGAATTTCCAGTTTGATTTTTGCTACCTTAGCTGGTGGAAAGAACTTATTGCAAAATTTCTAGTTAGTTCTTCCCATGTGGTAATACTTCCATCTGATTCGGCATCCAGCCATTCCAATGATGTATCTCTCAGTGTATATGAGAATAATCGCAGCTTGATGGGTCCTCATTAACCCCAAGAGCATGACAATTCTAGAAATTCCTGAGAAACCTTGAGATATGTGTGTTTGAATTCTCATGAGGTAACCCGTAGAATTGCAGAGTGTTGCTCATCAAATTAATCCAATCAGCCCGTATCTGGAAGTTGTTTATCCTAAAATCTGGATATACTATGTTGGACCATGCAGGTGCTGCTATAGGCGTCAAAAACATAGAAACTGGCAAGTCCTCTTCATTTACTACCCTTTGCTCTTGCTGTTGAGCTCTCACGGCCATTTGTCCAATTGGCTGTATATGGATAGGATTGTTTAGATTGTCAACAATTTAATGTTGCTATTTTTGTTTGTGCTCCCTACGTCTTCGTCTAAAGGTACGTTCTATTTTCGAATCAAACAGTTCAAGATCGTCACCTTGGACACGGAGCATATCTGGAAGTTGTTTACCCCAAAATCTGGATATACTGTGCTGGACCGCACGGGTACTACTATAGGCATAAAAAATATAGAAACTGGCAAGTCCCCTTCATTTACTTCCCTTTGCTCTTGTTGTTGAGCTCTCGCGATCATATTTCCAATTGGCTGTATATGGATAGGATTGTTTAGATTGTTAACAATTTGATGTTGCTGTTTTTGTTTGTGCTCCCTGCGTCTTCGTCTGAAGGTACGTTCTATTTTCGAATCAAACGGTTCAAGATCGTCGCCTTGGGCACGGAGCATATCTAGAAGTTGTTTACCCCAAAATCTGGATATACTGTGCTGGACCGTGCGGGTGCTGCTATAGGCGTCAAAAACATAGAAACTGGCAAGTCCCTTTCATTTACTTCCCTTTGCTCTTGTTGTTGAGCTCTCGCGGCCATTTGTCCAATTAGCTATATATGGATAGGATTGTTTAGATTGTTAACAATTTGATGTTGCTATTTTTGTTTATGCTCCCTACGTCTTCGTCTAAAGGTAAGTTCTATTTTCGAATCAAATGGTTCAAGATCGTCGCCTTGGGCACGGGGCATATAACGAACACAGTTTTCTATAAATAAAAGAAAATAAGCAAATTATAACAATTAAAAATAAGATAAAAATAAAATAAGTAAAATAAATAAATTAAGACTAAAAATAATAGTCCCCAGCAACAGTGTTAAAAACTTATTGTCGATTTTATCCCGCAAGTGGACAAATCGTAACAAGTAGTAAAGTGGATCTTTTGAGTCCGAATTATCTTTCTCACGAGGACTATACTTTAGTACTCAATTTATTATTCCTAACTCCTATTTGATGAATATAAATAAATAAAAATAAATAAATTTGATTAACTTTGATTTTTAAATCTAACTACTAAAAATTTCGGGAATGCAACAGAATATTAGTGAGAATTCAAATAAGAAATGGAGATTAGGACGGAACAACTTCACCTATTGGTCACCTTAATTTTTAATATCGAGATTCATAAAATTAAAATAGTATTCGGTCGAATTCTTCTATTGTATTCAACTTACCCTTCTTGAGTTCTCGTTGAGCCTATTTAATTAGTTCAATTCCATATCTCTATGCAAATTAAATTTAATTAAACGAAATAACAGTTCTTAGAATTTCTATAGGATCGCAGTAATTAATATAGGTATCTCTACATGTTATATTAATTTATCGAATTTTAATAGTGGTCTAAACAAGAATCCGCATCTCTACGTAATTATTGTTCATGAAATCATTGAATATTTGGCCTAAAAATTCAAAACATTAAAAACATAATTAAAATTCACACATAAAATATAAAAAAAATAAAGGTCCCAAATAAGTTACACTGTTTCTCCCAAAAATAAATTTAGGTACGCATATTAATAGGAGAAAAACAAGATATTATCATGGAAGACATCACCCGATTTATTGACGGAACGTGATTAATAAAATTGCTGCCCTTTTTTTGTGTTTCCGTCTTGTCTCTAGTCACCGCCGTGTTTGTATATAATTCAATGATATTGGCAGACAACACCCAGTCAATTCCACCAAAGCTGTCTAAATTTCTGTGCTAGTATATCTAAAAATTTGAGCAGCAAATCAGCCCTCCAATTTTCTTCTCTCTCCGTCCCCCTTTTTGCAGAATGTGTGTGGAAGAATATATAATAGCAATGGCTGCCCTTTTTTTTTTCTCTCCTCCAGTCTGCCGCAGAAATTGACCCCCTTTTTCTCTAGGTTTGTATGTGTTTATATATATAAAAATAACCTCCAACCTAGTAGCCACACTTTTGAATATAAAAAAAGGACCCCCACTTCCAATTGCATGCGTAAATGTATGTATGTATGTGTGTGTGTGTATATATCTATATATATAACAACGCTACCTGCGCTTCGACATGGGAGCTCAGAATGAATCGAATAAGATCTGGTTTTTCTGGAATTCGGGGACTAATGTTACTGTTATTGTTGATCATCCCCAGTTTCTTCATGTTAGAGTTGAGGATCCCAGACTAGCGCGTGCTATCTATTTGACTCCAGTCTATGCGTCATGTGATGCTACTATCAGGAGAGATTTGTGGGCGGGTCTTCACCACATCTCCCTCGATATGGACGATCCTTGGCTAGTTGGAGGAGACTTTAATGTTATTACACATGATGGAGAGCGCACTGGTCATAATACCCGTAATCGTGGCACTACTGCTTTCTCTGATATGATGTTAGACTGTGGTTTAGAGGATGCGGGTTTCATTGGAAACCGATATACTTGGACCAATGGTCGGGATAGAAAGAGATTGGATAGGGTTTTGGACCAAGCACCATGATTTTTTAGCCTTTGTCTCCCACAAGTGGTCGCTCCCTACTCATCTCACAGGGATGACCGCTCTTTGGAAGAAGTTCTTCAGGCTGAAACAGGGTCTGCGCTGGTGGAACCGACATGTATTTGGAGATATTTTCCAGCGGGTGCGCGATACTGAGGTCGGGGTTGATGAGGCTGAGATAATATATGATAGAGATCCTACACCGGAGCACCGTAACTTACTACATCAGGCCAGGCAGTTTTGAACCGGACCTTGTCTATTGAGGAGGGCTTTTGGAAGCAAAAGGCCGATTCACGTTGGGCATGTGAGGGTGATCACAATACTCGATATTTTCATGCGATGGTTCAAGGGCGTAGGATCAAATCGTGTATCAGGTCTATCAGGACATAGGCGGGGGAAGTGTTATCTACTCCTACTAATATTCAGACCTCGGCTGTTGCTTTCTACCAGGATCTCTTATCTGCTCCTCCACAACCCTTGGACCACATCCGTTCTGATGTCATTCCGAGGCTATTGACGGTGGACGATAATCTGGCACTAAATCGCCCCCCTTTGATTCATGAGGTACGGGAGGCAGTTTTCAGTATTGATGCTGACAGTGTCGCTGGCCCGGATGGCTTCTCATCCCTATTCTTCCAGCATTGCTGGGATATCATTCAGGAGGATGTTTACAGGGCGGTATTGGATTTCTTTGATGGTGGTCATCTTCCACGGGGTTTTGCTGCTACTTCTATTGTCTTGCTACCTAAGAAGGATGGTGCTTGCAGATGGACTGAATTCAGACCAATCAGTTTATGCACAGTGTTCAATAATATTATTACTAAGCTTTTGAACACTCCTTACTGAGGTCAGTACTTTCTTCCATACCTTTACATCTTCTTCAGATTATGCAGCCGCCCAAGGCAGTGCTGAAGAAACTTGAGTGCGTCTTTGCCCAATTTCTATGGGATTCTAAGGATCAAGCACGACGTCTACATTGGAGGAGTTGGAAGGCGATTTGCCTTCTTACTGATGAGAGAGGCCTCGGCTTTAGGAGATTACAGGATGTGGTGGACACCTTCTTCATGAAGCTCTGGTGGCTGTTCCGATCTCAGAGGTCACTTTGGGCTCAGTTTTTACTGGGCAAGTATTGTAAGGGGACGCATCCTTTACTTGCACCAGTTCCCAGTTCAGCTTCCCCTACCTGGAAGAGGCTGAAATCAGTTAGACCACAGACGGATCCACACATTGCTTGGCACCTTGGAATCGGTCAGATTTTCTTCTGGAATGATTGTTGGATGGGCGAGTCCACGTTGGCATCCCTATTCCCCCACAGACAGCACACATCTGCGAGGGTACAGGATTTTTTTGACGACACTGGGCGGGATTTTGGATGGTTATTACAGGCCCTTCCTTCTCACATGGCGGAACAGGTAGGGGCGATACCTTTATGTACAAATGCCACGGACCGAATTGTTTGGAAAATTACTTCGGATGGTGACTTTACCACCAAATCAGCATGGCAACTAGTCCGTTCGGTT